TCTTATCTTCTCACCTTACCATATACTAGTGCATAATAGAGCCCTGCATAATCGCTCCTTTAATTCACTCTTGTCGCCCCCTTATTAATTGTATGCTCTTGTATTCGCCATTTTTTCATTCTTCTCATGCAGCGGTATGGACCAGCTGGTGAGCTCTATCTGACGGCCGGCAGGATGCAGCAGGCAGTCGAAGCATTCATCGCTGGTGAAGAATGGACCAAGGCTCGTCGGGTTGCTCGCGAACTTGAGCCTCGTCTTGAGGAATATGTTGAAGCAAAGTACAAGGGTCTTCTGAAGGTTAGTCGATAGCTTTTTATTGCAAACACTCTGGCCTTTCATTCTTTTCTCCCCTCCGCTAATATCCACCATTTATATTTGCATTAAATACTGGTTTATACTTCTAGCTTCAGATGACGCTTTTACAAATAGGAATAACTCATTAATAATAATGAATAATTTAATCCACTTCAAGAGAAGCAAGATTACTTTTGTCTATTCTAATGGGGTTATCCCCACCTTCGTGGGGAAACAATGTAAAAACGTTAGTTTACATTATCTTTAGATACCAAAATGCTTGAAGTTGAAGTCATGCCTTTCTGTGCTTGTGTATAAGTGGACACTTGGCATATCAGCGGCAAAGGAAGCGCCTTTAGCTATTCATACAGCGGCAGTAATAAAGGCAGATAAGAGTTTTTCTCCTATAAAATTCTCTCTGATGCTGACTTTTTTTCAGATTGTTGTAAATTCAAATTATTCCGTCTCTGATGATCTAGATGTCACAGAAATTATGTGATCTTGTTAGACTGGTAAATCATAGGAAACTTATGCCCATATGAATCTGCGGTTACAGCAACCCTACGAAAGAAAGAATTGACAACTGGGCTCTTCCACAATTTACCTTCTATACCATCACGCACAAGTCTTCTTGCTTAATGGGCCATCAAGGCAAGAGTTGCTAGAGCAAGAAAAACGACATGCTTCTATGCGAACGAGATCAAACTATAAAAAAGATCTGATTCCGTTTTCGAAAATTAGTCGTGCCGTCAGGGTTATTGAGATGAACGTACTTTGTTCAAAGTCCTTTCGTCAAACCGTGAACTTTCGCTGGCATCGGAGTCGAAATCGTCAGAAAACCTTGCCGTTCTTAGTACCAAGGAATTAAGTTTACTTGTCTCTAACGATTTACAGAGCGGTGCTATGAATGCCAAGACTCACTGATGATGCCGGCGGAATGTACCAACTGCCAGGCATGAACCATGCCCGACGCTGTGGATTATAATAACTATTATAGCAGAGAATTACGGACAAGATGAGTTCATCTAGGAAGCCCTGACAACACGACCGATTTACGAAAACTAGGCCGCTTCACATATACGGCGAAAGAAAACCGCGACAAAAATAGAGGCCGCGACATATTCATATATTTTAAGATTTCCCTTGAGTTATTTCTGGAATAAAGCTTTGGCGAAAGCAATGTTAAAAGTAAAGTTTTTCCCTGAGGATCAATTCTTTCGCATACATAATTTGCCGCAAAGGCAGTCTCTTTCATAAAACCATCTTGTTAAGTATGGTTAAAGACAATGCAGCCAATGGTCTTTTTTTCTGAGGCAATTTTGCTTACACATGAATGTACTGGTAGTGCTTTCACAGATGGTAGATTTCATCCTTCGAGCCTAGATGGAAATAACACATTTTGGCCTGATTGATCAGCCGACTATTTTATACATCATTAGGCGCCTCTTGGAGCCAACGCTCTCTGTTGAATTGGTCAGAGTGTCCATTACTATCTGCTTTATTCGTCTTTTCTATTTGCATCTTGCGAAAATAAATGGCCTCCATTTGCTCTAAAACTGCTGACGTTCAGCAATCTTCCCGTTTCTCTTTACACTGTTCTTATTCGCCGGTCTCTTCTGATTCAGTCGACCGGTCAAGCTGATGCCCTCGCAAGCCTTGATCTGCTCTCCGCTCTCGATATGCTAGCCGATCAGGGTTGCTGGGATAAATGCCTCGCCATGGCCGAACAACACGCCGGCTTCTCAGCCTCGGCCAAGTCTCACGGAAGCAAAAGCAACGGGGTTGGTAGTCAAGACGCTTCGCCCAGTCGGGCCGGTAGCTCGATGGCCAGTGAAGCTGTGGAGGGTTTGC